ACTCCCCATTCCAAATATAGATGGTTGGGCAAAGAAAGAGAGAGAGAGAGAGAGAGAGAGAGAGAGAGAGAGAGAGAGAGATGTAGCCTTCAAATCGGTCTCCTTGACTTGGTTAAAGGATTGTCTTGCAGGCTCAATTTGCCTTCACCCTTTGTCTTAGATCTAAATAGAGCCTCATCTCATTTTCCAAAGCCATGGATGCCTCTCCTGTTTCTCAGAATGGAAAGATCACCACACACACACACACACACACACACACACACTTCTGCAAAGCTGTATAAAATGAACAGGCATGGTACACCTTCTGAGGGGTAGAAATGTCAAACCCCAGGCAGATAGGTGCAGATGATGAGCATCTGTGATGTGCAAATTTAAAATTTGAGGATGTTTAAAAATGAGGGGGATTCTCTGCCTTCTCTATTGTTCCAGACCACATACTTACAGTTTACATACAAGATACAAATACCCTTAGCTACATCCCCTGGGAATTTTTTTAATTTACCCAGTATTTTAACGTATAAAATTTTAATTATGTTTTTATTCCAGTCATGGGTTATTAGTGTTATTAGTATTATTGTTTGGGTTATTAATATGATATTTTATATCATTGTATTTATTGAATTATTGTTGTAAGCCGTCCAGAGACATATAGTGATTGGACAGGTTAGAAATACCCCAAATAAATAAATAAATAAATAGGGACAGCTTGTAATTTGGAGTTGTAGTTGCCATCATTCTAAGGCTGTCCTCCCCACTTGGCAGTTTTGTAAGCAATTTGCTGTTTGTTGTGTATGTTGTGTGAATATGGCACACACATCCACATGTGGATGCACACGCGTGCTGTTAGAGTCTTTTTGGTGCAACTATCTGCCTGCCAAGCCCACAGAGCATCCTACAGTTTCAGGAGGAGAGGGAGCAAACCGTGTTTGCTCCTTGTTTCAAGGGAGAGGAAACTGAATTCATCACTGTGGCTTTATTTGGAAAGTGATGGGAGAGGAGGGAAGATCAGCTCCTTCCACAGCTATGCTGGTTTCCTGGAGCTGGTGCCCCTTGCTGGCATCCTGCTCTCCCTGAAGGAGGATAGGAGGGAACAGTGCTTTGGGGACTTGGTCAGGTTGTGGGGAGTCAGTGGAGAGTTGGTGCCAAGCACCACTGAACAGGCCTGGTGGGACCCCAGGCCATCTCCAAGCGGTGGTCTTGGAAGCACTGATTGCAGCTGTTACCACACACACAGTGACAAAAGGCAGCGAAGTGAAAACATCAGAACACCTTCTAATAAGTTCCTTTTATACCTGTCCCCAAAGTTCTGTGATGGAAAACCAAAAGGACGGGACAGATAAGTCATTCTCTAGCTGGATACAATGGCTGTCAGTAAGAGGACTATAACCCTCCTCTAGTGACATTTTTCATTTACAAAGAACTTGGAGGTGCTTGTGAGAAGTTCAAAAATCAATGTGTACAATTGGTCGGAAAAAGTAAAAGCAAAATCATTGTTCCACAGCTCTGAGATGATTCAATAAATACAGGAGCAGCCTGCTCCGTCTCTCTCTCTCTCTCTCTCTCTCTCTCTCTCTCTCTCTCTCTCTCTCTTCCTGTGTATATAGATATAGGGATTGGGTATATGTACACATATTCATTCACTTATTTATCTGAAACATGAGAGCAACGATGTGCAATATTTTCAAATGAGGTGCTTACGACGGACCTAAGTCTCCACAACCTAAGTCTGTTGTGAAGCAATATATCTCGAGGCCAGTGCTGATCTTTGTGATTCTATTCCAGTACACATAAAGTTCAACAAATTACTCTGGCACTCATTTCTTTTCCATTTTCCCAAGCTCAGGATTTTGAAGCTTTGTGTTACTCTGTGTCATGATATTACCACATGAACCCATACCAAATGTAAAAATTAAACAAGGCAAAGGTGTGAGATTTCTCTTGTGCTCTGTGCCATTTTGTCTCCTATTTATGAAGTGTATCATAGTCAAGGTACATGCTGTGCTCAGATATAAATATGCATTTTTGTCAACTTTTAGTTAACCATGTTGGTTGAGGAATCCTGAAAGTTACAGGACATTTTTCTGTCCAAGCATGTGCAGGATAGTATCTTAAATCTCCATGAACTCCCAAGAGGGGTTAGGAGGGCATTGGCCCATGTACCTCCCTCCCTCCCTCTCTCTTGGTACACAAGCAGAGAGTCCTCCCATGGTCACCTGGGGGATATTGCTGCAAGAATTGTTCCCCTACAGAACAAAACAGTTTAAATCTGTGTGAACTCTTTTAAATTAATGTCACTAGAAATATCAGTACCTGTATTCACATAGGTAAGAGGTTGTGAAAAGTGGCCAGTGTTGTTGTTGTTTTAATAATTCAGGTGATCACATGGAACTAACACTTTGTTTTGTTTTGTCACTTCTGTGAATGGATAACAATATATAAAGCTGCACTTGCTTAACACTTTGCAGTATCAAGGAATGAGAACTCTATAGAAGATGAACTCCCATGGAGCCAGCTGGGTGTTTTAGTCTTAGTTTTGGGAAGAGGAGATGGGTTCTCTTTAGTCACATTTTTTCTTTTCAAGTGGGTAGCCATCAATAGCATCCATAGCTCTGCCCTGCTCTGATAAGGCAAGTTTTGGTGCAACCCTATCTATTCCTGCTCAGAAGAAAGTTCCACCTTATTCCCAAGATAAGTGTGTAGAGGTTGCAGTCTGCATCTCAATAAGCAACTTTTTATGCACTCGGCAGATGCAAAACAAAGGAAGGCCTTCCTTAGTAAGCTTTATATCTAACAGTGACTTTGCTTGCAAAGAAGCTGGGGCACTAGATGTTCACCAATTCCTCCCCTGCCCACCTGCTCCTGAGTGGACTGCAGAAATGGGAGGTAATAGCACCAAAAATAGGTTCCCTGACTCGCAAGAGTGGAAGCAAATTTTGGTAAGGCAAATCCATGATTGGATGCAGTGGAATATATCTAATACACTGCTTAATGTTGTCATTCTTGCTTATATGATATTGGAGCTAGTCCTTCCCCCTCCCTCTGTCCTCCTCTTGCCTTCAAGTCCAGCTGCGATGGCAGAACTCCCGTTTTCAAAAAGCGAACGTGCATGGCTCTGAGCAATACGTGTTTGGGTGGGAACCAAGTGTGGACTTCAGCTGGTGGAGCCTGCCTGTTTCATCTCTATGCATGCCCCTGTTCTCTTTTCTAAATGTCATGCTGTCCTGTGCTGTTGAGAAATAATTTGGTGAAGTTTAAAGAAAAAAAGAAACTATTGTGTCTGGTCACTGAAGGATCACTGTGCAATTGTTGTGAGTCGCAGACACTCATATTTTACCTCCCTGAAACATATACCATAGAATAGTTTATAAAGTAATCTTTGCATGATGGTTGTTTGAGATGGAGGCTGAGTTGCCCTCACCTAGCCATCTCTGGGCCTGATAACATGGTAAGGAGGAGAACAATGGAAAAGAAGAGAGATCCTGAGTATATACAATATCTTTTCTCAGATTTTGTCATATTTGACCAAGTGGGCCATTTCTTCAGGTTCACAAATCCAAAGGAAATCTGTGATTATGCAAAGGAGCTCTTGTCATGAGCTCTTATAGCTCACAGGATCAGACCCTCAAGGCAGCAGCTTCCCTGAATTTAAGTGTCAACAGGCTGCAGGTTTAAAATGATGTAGGATTTGCCAACTACCTTTCAACCAGACTTCAAGTTGTTCATGTACAAGTCGTTCACACCCAAAACCCTGGTCAGGAAAACCAGCCCTGAATTTTGCCCTGCAGAGCAGGAATGGGGAAAATTCAGTCCTGTCGGCCAAATCTGGCCTTCCTGGTACTCAAATCCAGCCCTGCAGGCTTCCCAGGCAAGTCATGCCAATCCCCAGTGCCCTGATAGTTTTGTGTTTTCTTTGCTTTTGCAGGTTCCCCACCATTCTAAAAAGTTGAAATGCTTTGATACTGAGAGAGGAGCTTTAAGAAAAAGTATGCTGGTCTTTATGTAGTTTGGGCCCAGCCCTTATTGTATTTGCTCTCACTCACCCCTGGACTGCAAAATGTAATTCAGTCCTTGGGCCAAAGGAGGTTCCACAGTCTTGCCATGAACGTAAACCCTGTAATATAGCACATTAAGATAGACCATTCAGCAGAAAGTTACATGCAGGATTCTAATCAGTTTTTCCAACCTAGATGTTTGAGGGTAATATAATTGGCTATCAACTCATTTTCCTCTAAGTAAACAGAACATTTTTAGGACCCAGAATTACAGCTACAAGTGAAGCATTCTGTTTTCTTGAAGCGTTTTCCTAAAGTCTGTGGATGTCTATTTTAAAACAGCAACCTTTTCTTCCTCTTGGCTTTTGTCTTTGTTTTAGACCATTAGAGCTGAAGCATGCATAAAAGAAACTGCTTTAATTTGAGTGGGGGTAATTTCAGCTCCGGCTCTGCCCTGCCCTTCAGTCAATTCAGGAACTAGTGCAGCTGGCAGCTTGTCATGCATTTAGAAAGAAATGTGCCAGGAGGATGGATGCTGAAAATTTCCAGTAAAAATGATCAGTGCTGACTGTAGATAATTTTCCTAGTACTAACTGGTATTCTGCCTTCTGTGTGGAAAGCAGCTAATCAAACCCTACTTTGCAGTACAGCATTACACATTGATTGCCCAGAGGCTCCTGGCTCTGAAGCAAGGGAGAGTTGCTATGGGAATCAAGAGGGCACTTGGAGACAGGATTTGGGGCTTGGCTCTTTCCTGCCCATGGCTGCTGGAGTCACAGGAACGAAAGGAAGGAAGGAAGAAATGGAGAGGAGGTGGCAGGGAGGCACAGGGAAAGGCATGCATGTTAGAGGAGGGACTGTTGTAGCCAGAGGCAGTGGAATGGAGAAGAGCAAAGGCACCGATGCATCAGGCAGTGGTGGTTCTGCTTAGGGTGCCTAGACCTTATTCCTGCCATAGAGTTAATAATCTAACAAAACTGCCATAAAAGTCTGACTGTGTCCAGAAAGATGGGATCCAGCTCGTCAGCATACCGACCCAAGTGTGTTTATTTGGATATTGATGGAAGAATTCAGAAGGTACTCTTTCACTCCTTGTACATTTGCAGCGATTGTCTTTATCAATGCCATTTGCATTTAACTGGATTCGCTGTCCAGCTTTCTTCCCCCCACCCTTTTCTTTTGTGTATCATGAGCTGTAATTGCATTTTCATTCAAATCGATGCATATTGCTGCCTTGTGTTAATAGTTTCATTCCTGCACAGTCTTGGGTGGGTTTGTCTGCTTGTTTGCAAAAGCCTACAGTGAGAACTCAAGGAAGCAGATTGATGGTTTCAAGATAGCAGAGATTTGGAATGCATGTGTGAATTCTCATGTGTTGTCTTCTGTAGTTACTGTGTGCACTAGTACAGCTGGGAATGCAAAGTTACAGTTACACTTTGAGGATTCTAAGCTAGTTTTTGTGCGAGCAGAACACAGTCTAAATGCAAATATTTTTACATATCCAAGCTAAGTCTGATAGGTAGATTTAAGTAGTTTGAGGGTATAAAGTATCCTAAAATTTTAGTGAATTATGCATGCCCTTGGTTCCTACAACTGTTTTCAGTGCTTCTTGTATACAGACACACACACAGCATAAACTTCTATCATAACTTTCATTTATTGTATGGGTGCCTCAGCCGAAGTTAAGAAAGGAGGGACCTAGATCTGCAACCTAAAAGAAGAAAACACCTGAGACATATTCTGTACACGTGCTTGTTTTGAATTTTGTAACCTGCCACTTATAATAAACAATGGAAAATAGGTGTGCTGAACATGATTGGGAAAATCCAGCTAGTTCCACCCTCGAGATCTGCATCTCAAGTCTTTTGGTCACTGTGCTCTGTTCTCTCATACAGACAGTGGAAATGGCAGGTTGTACATTCACCTCTTTCCTCTGGATCTCGAATTTGCTTTGAGGAATAATTTAGGATAAACTTCTACCCTGCCCTGCCTTGATTCAGTCTGCAAATGCATTATATTATAGCAGCAATGCTGTATTCACACTGAACTGAGTGTAAACCCCACTGGACCCAGTGGGAGTCACTTCTGAGGGGATATGCCTTTGGCTACAGTACAAGGGTATTTCTAGATGTGTGCTTAATTGGAAGTGCTGAAGTCACGTGAGCCCTTTTTTAGCACCGGTGCTGTTACACACCCATCCTTGCTGGGAAATGGCAGCGCTTGGGGTGGCTTTGCTCTCTGGAGGGACCCTTGCTGTGGTGCTTGGACAGCAGGGGTGTGAATCCCCTGTTGGCAGTACAGAGCCATAGCTAAAAGGACACAGGGAAAAGGAATGGCTTGCCCTTTATAATCGTGGAGTGGGGAGTGACTTTTGAGATCCCTGTCCATGACACAGCAGGCATTCGTAATTCTCAAGTATTTCACAGCTAATACATTGTTATGATGTCATTCATTCCATATTCATGGCACGAGTACAACTGTGATGGTGCGTCTTTCAAGCAGTGTTTGGAAACTTCAGCTGGAGCAAAAATGCGGCAACTAGAGTTTCAACTGGGGTTCAGTCTACCTAAAAACATGAGAAGGGCCCTGCGGTACTGAGCCAAAGATCTCTTTAGCCCAGCATTTTATCTATACAGTGGCCAGTGAGGTACTTGTGGGAATCCCTCTAATTCTCCCTTTGATGCCATTACTTCAACTTTTGCTAGTGAATTCCGTGTGACTCCGAACTTCGTCACGGATCTCTGGCTGTTCATTGATCTTCACTGGCTTCCAGTCCATTGCCAAATGCAGGAAGTTCTGGTGATTTCAAAGTTCTATCCAGCTTGGGGTCAGGATACCCTAAAGGTCCACATTTCCACACATGACCCTGCTGTGTTCATCAGCAGAAGCCCTGTTCCTCTTCCTCTTGCCTTTCAATGAAACAATACAAAATAGTGCCTTGTCACCTGTGGCATACAGATTGTGGAGGTAATTCCCTCCCAAGGAGGTAATCAGTCCCACTGTCTGCTGCTCTAACAGTCAGGAAGTTCTTCCTGATGTTCAGCCAGAACCTGGCTTCCTGTAACTTGATCCCATTATTCCTTGCCCTGAACTCTGGGAAGATCAAGGAGCGATCACAGCCCTCTTCTGATGATCAAGCAGAGATCATCGCCTTTCAGGAGTGCTACCATAGCTCCCTTCAGGCTTCTCTTCTCAAGGCAAAACATGCCCAGTTCGTCTGAGCTCTCCTCCTAGGGTTTTGTTTCCCTTGTTGCTCTACTCTGACCTTTCCAGTTTATCTGCATCATTCTTAAGCTGTGGTGCCCAGAAGTGGATGCAGTACTCCAGATGAGGACTAAGAAGTGCAGAATAGATGCAAACTAGAATTTTGCGTGATTTGAAAATTATACTTCCATTAATGCAGACCCAAATACCATTAGTCTATTTTGCAGCCACATCACATTGTTGATTCATGTTCAGATTGTGAGCTATAATTCCAAGATCCTTCTTATATCTAATATTTTTGAGCCAAGTATCCCATATCTGGTAACTATGGATTTGGTTCCATTTTACTAGGTGCAAAGCTAGGCATTTATCCCTAATTAATTCTTCCAAGCACATTCTTCCCAGTCCTTGTGAGATGCATCCTATCCCTTGCCAGCAGTCCAGTTTCCAGGAACTGTACCCCACGGTCCAGAATCTCTTGCATCAGTACCACCTTTGAAGTCAGGCATTCACCTGGATGGCAATGTTACCTTTGGGAGAAATGATATGAATTCCCTACAAACCTGTCCATTTTTCCCATTAGCCTGGAAAGACCCTAGGGACCTTTGATCACATAATCATGTGACTTCAGTGTTCAGCATTTTTCCCTTCCTGTTTCTGGCTAACCATGCTGATTGGAATGGGTTGATAAAATGGGACAGGCTAATGCCGCACAAATAGGCAGGAAATGGCAGGCAGCAAAAATAAGGATGACTGCAGAATAGATGGCTGGGGATGATGGAGGTTGTATCCCAGCATATCTTGAGCATTTTAGATTGGGTAAGGTTGCCCCAGGAATTCTGGTGAAGAACAGCTGGAGGCAGTAGGTTCCATAATAAAGAATTTGCTGAACTTTATCTACAGAACCATGGATAGCTCCAGAGCAGGCCCCTTGCTCCAACCACTGCTAGAGTGGAACAGGACCTTCTGATATTGATGAAGACAATGATACCTGTGTCAAACTCCATACCTCTTTGGTAAGCAGTGAGCCCTTAAAGAGGCTGTCCTCTGACCTCTTTACGGTACAGACTCCTTTGGTGCTCTGTGGTTCCTGGTGAAACCTCTGGCATCTGAAGAAATGGGGAGTGGATGAAGGAAGCAGGTCCAAGGCAGTTGGGGAGGAAAGTCCTCAGGGATGCTCTGCCCATCTGCTTGTACTTCTGAACTGACTGGGAAGCTGGGAGAGCCTGGTTCTGGTCCTCACCCAACCATGAAGCTCACTGGGTGAGGCTGAGCCAGTCACTTATTCTCAGCCTAACCTCACAGGGTTGCTGTTGTGAGGATAAAATGAAGTAGAAGACTATATAAGCCATCCTGGGTTCCTCACAAAAGGAAAAAATAAATGCAATAAATAATAATAGCCCATTCAGTTAAGTCAGATAATGCTATATCCTTCATGGTTAGCTGCTTCTTAGACTGGGCAGGTTCATGGATCCTATTATACCATGTCTTCCGGGATGGTATCTAGGTCTACACTGGCAACAGGGGAATGAATCCCTCTCCTCTGAATTGGTGCTTTACTCATTAAACAAGACCAAGTCACAGACAGAAGCAGTCGTTCTACAGCTTCCTTTAAACTTGTGCCCTTGCATATGTTACTTGACTACAGCTCCCATCATGCATCACCATTGGCTGTGCTGGCTAGGGCAGCTGAGAGTTGCAGTTCAGCTGCACCCGAAGTTGTCCATCTCTGCTTTAAACTGTTCAGAATGGGCTGAAGTACAAAATTTGGTCTTCTGTTCATGAGGAACAATTCAAATAAAGCCTTTACCTCAGACATATGTGGATGCAAATGTAGTAGCCAATTACAAGTGGGACCTGGCTTTAGCTGCTCTCACATCTTCCATGCTCTTCAAACATACCCCAAAAATATCCTATGGGAGCCTCTTTGATGGGGTCAGTGCAACATCTCAGGAGCAGAGAAACATGATTTGGTCATCTTGTCCCCTGTAAGCCTGCCCAGATTTTATGCTCTTGCAGGGAGAGCCTCCTCCATGGCCACCCATAGGCTATAGCACTCCCTGCTGAGCTAGGATGGCCCCTCCCAGCTGCCACAGAGATTCAGGCTGGTCTTTCTCATCTGGCTGGTCTTTTGCTGAAAGGCCTTTCAATTGGCTGGTGCTGCTTATTGCTTCTACTGTTGTGTTTAAAATTGCATTTTGAGACTGTTTTAATGCTAAGCCTTAATGAAGTTGATGTTGTTAGACTAGATTTTATTGGTAGCTAACTTGAACACCTTTTCGGGGGAGGTATGTGAAAAGGCAGGATAGAAATTAAACATTTATTTATTTATTTCTATGCCACTCCATAGCTGAAGCTCTCTGAGTGGCTTACAATAAAATATACAATAACTGTCTGACTATTACAACCCTTGCCAAGACTATAACTAGGTTTACACAACACAGTAAACCAGACTCAAGGATTGAGTATGGGTTGCTTTGTGGGTTGTCATTGAAATGTGCGTTATAGTCGAAATGTTGTTCATCATTTTGTCTAAACACAGCCAAGATAACAAACCACACTGAACAATTCATAGTTCACAACCTAATACCAAACCATGCATTCATTTGAAGGGTTCTTTGCAATTAACGAACTATGGTTTGTTCATGCAGCAGACTTCAGATAACATGTTTCAACAGCAGCCCATAGTTCAACAGCATTCCACACGCAACCCATGCTCAACCCCTGAGCGTGGGTTGCTGTGTTTTCTGAATCCAGATTAGGTGGAGCCACAAGTGGCCTCTCAAACCAGCCTCAGTGAACCTAAAAGTCCCCAACTTCCAACAGTGTCTTCAGATCTACCTCCCAGGATCATTGTAAGGTCAGGGACATTTCTGTCCTCACCAAATGTGGTGAAAAGAAGTAGCTAAGGCAATTCCACATTTATGTTCATTCTTCCTGAAAATGCTTTCAGATGATGCAGCTGGACCAAAACTTTGATCCTTTCCAATTTTAAAAGTTGAATAATGGTGTCTTAACTGTTACTTTTGCCAAGATGTACTTGATTTCCAAAAAGCAGTCCATGAATGCCCAGTTTAGTCTTTGGTGTTTGCACTAAAGGTAATATCTCTAGAATGATCAGCTCCTTATTAGTACCAAAAAGGGATATCTGAATTCTGTTAACATCAACAATTTTGGAATATCAAAATAATGTACCATAGACTTATTCTAAACTCTGGAATCCATGTTTCCATAGCCAAAATTCTATATAGTTTGAGATCCTAAATTCTATACAGTTTGAGATTCACACAACACTTTCTAACCTGACTTCCCCTCACCCAAATTTGCTGGGGTGAAAACACACATAAGAATTTGATTTTGTCCCAAAATTATTCTCTAATGAACACTTGTATTACTGCAGAACTTGAGAGAAAGACAAGTTCCTAAAAGTCACAACACATTCTGATACAAAGACTGGCTGTATGGATGTTATCCATTTCATTTTTCTATGATTAAATTTTATCTGGGGCTTGCCAGAGTGGGAAATGCAGGAAGTGGGGGAGAAGGAGACAGATTCTATCTTGTTTAGTCAGAGTTCAGTTAGGGGTAATACAGGAGATTATTTTTCTCCATACATGACGATATAATTAGATGACTTTGAACCTTCATCTGCCAAAGAATGCAGTTTCTGGAGAGAGCTCATTAAATGAATTCTAAGCCATCCTTTGACTTGACCCAGCAGTGAGTTAAAACCCTCTTCATACCATTATCCCATAAATTTGAAAAGACTCTATTCATACTGAAAACCACAGTACTTAGAAGCATTACAATGGACATGAGCATATATGGGAGCGTGTGCGAGGATTGCAACTGAAAATACTATATATAAGTACAACACGGATGAATGGATTCAATTAGAGGATTGCTCACTGGCCAAGGACAGTGGTGTAGTCCAACTGTCTCTCAAATGAAAATTACTAAATTATATATTGCAGGCATATAGGCAAGTTTGGAAACTTTGGATAATTTTTGGAAAGCTAACGTTAGGAAATGAGAATGTAACCTGTGTTGGCCAACTATGGAAGAGCTTTTTCCTCCCTCCCTCCCTCCCTCCCTCAGGAAATGTGTTTTTATGAGTACCCCAGATAGCCCAGAGAACCTCCTAAGCATTTGTACTGAAAGGAGTCAGACCCATGTACTTTGCCCATGGGAGTAATGGCTGGATGGTAGGGAGGAAAGCGTCTGTGATGGCACTTTGACAGGATTAGCATCTGCTGCAGAGAACCCTTTTTTTCTACAGGGACATTCCACAGGATGTGGAATGGAAAATCAGGGTTCTAGAACATGTGGGAAACCTTCATAGAGATAAAGGGCTCCTTGCAGGAGATAGTTGCCCTCAGCACATGGGAGAGGATGAGAATAGTGATGATGTGGAACTAGCATGCTTATCCATGCTCTGCTTCCTTATATACTGACTAAAGCCCTGTATATGGAATGCTTGAATACAACTTCCATAGTGTACAGGCTTCCCCTGAAAAGTAGCTGCAATAGCATATTCTACTCTGGGGGTAGGTACGTGCTGAAAATAGTACAACAAAGAGGAATGTTTTCCAGCAGGCCACTTTCTTTTTGGAACAGAAATGGTACTCTAGAGCATATCACCATCCTCTTGAAAAAATATTCTTGCAGTTCCTATTCTGAGATGCTTATCAAAATGCAATGAGTGTTTTATTACTTAGGCCTTTGCAAGAATCCAGAGTTAGAGAAGACTAACAAACTTTTATTAAACTTCAAGGTAGCATCAACATATGGGTGACAATAAGCTAATATGCTTATTATGTGCCTTGGGTTTGCTTAGCTGACACCTCCTATTGTGTGGAAAAAGAACATCTGCTAAGTTTGTTATGTCTCTCAGTGTGGGTTTTAATTAACCAGGCTAACTATCTGACTTCCATTTGTTCCAATTATATTGCCATATCCCACTTAACTTGCATTTATTCTGTTCAACGATAATTGATTTCAAGGCTCAATGGCCCAGCACATTTCAGAAGTTCATTCCAAGTTCAACAGCAATAACATCAGATCTCCATTGATTGAATTCTTCATCCATTAACAGATTGGTAATATTCTGTGAGCCCTCCTTTTTGCTCTGACAATTCCTCATGCTACTTTTTGCAATGATCTATTAGTATTTCAGGATGAGCCGCATCAGATTAACTTAAACAACACTAACATTGTTTAATTTCTATGAATCCAAATAGACAGGAACACTAGAATCTGCTTAAGTGATATCAGAACAACATCCACTTTGTTTAAAGTGTATCTTTATTTGGGCGCAGGAAAGAAAACTGCATTCTATAAAGGAGACACAATGCAGAAAGAAGGGATCTTATGAAAGCTGACAATAGATGGTTGAAAATTGAAGTTCTAGTGTCTAATATGACAGTCTTACGTGAGACATTCTAAAAAAGAGCCATGGGCAGCTTCCAGATGAGTCTTTTAAACCTCATTTACAGAATTTTATGGCAGGCCAGATGCTGTCATCTTCAACTCATAACCCGCCCACATTGTGCCACTACTTTCTACACGTTTTTCCCCATCTATTAAGGAAGAAAAAAAGGAATCCCTGCACCAGTAACCTAAAGCAGAGAGAATGCTGTGGAAAGTTGACCAGTTGCTGAACATAAATTTTGAAAGTAACAGCACCTGGAGGTTCACACTTTCCTTTGATCTCAGCTGCCAGCAAGAAATGTTGTTATTTCAAAAAATAAAAAAGTAGAAGAAGAAGGGCACCTCAGCCTGAGCCAAGAATAATGTCTAAGCATGCACTGGTGTCCAAAGATGTCACATTGCCTGCACTTACGGCGTGTTGCACCTTTTATGTCCCTCTCTCCTGTCTAAAATCAATTATTTATTCCACACAGATTGAAAGTTCCACATGTATGCATGAAATTGGTGGAGGTGGGAGCTGGCATGACTGAACAGTGTTCCTACTTGGCAATGTTTCTGTCTCTCTAGTACTGATCTCTTCCCCAACATACAGCCCCATCACAGGTGCCATTTTGAGGACCTATCTAAGGGGTTTTATTTTGTTCCTGCTGATCAGTTCCAGTACAAGTGGGGAACATCTTCAATTACTGGCTGCAGTACAGGCCTGGGGCCAAAACGCAATTACATAACTAAGCCCCGCTTAAAGCAATTGCTTAGGAGAGTATTTCAGCCTTGTAGAACTGGAGGCAAGAGGATGCACACAAGTTGGGAAACCACCAACTAATTAGGGGAAAATGTGGCGATGAGGGAAAGCTGCCTGGACAACCTCAGATGGGTGGATTCAGATCCTGAGCTTGCAATTCCCCACCATTGCGCTGCAGAGATAAAATTTCTCACAAAAATTACACACTATCCTTGATGATCCCTCCTAATTTGTCCTGTCCAGTTTGTGAGTGTGTACATATGCAATGCATATACAGAAATTAGGCTACCCTTTACTCTCCTATTAGTGTGATTTTTTTTATACAGTCTGGCTTAGGTTCTCAAACACCATTCTTATTATTTGTTCTCTTCAGAATGAGAAAATAAATTTAAAAGAATGGAAAGGGTTTGGAAGAGTAAAGAATAGGAACCAGATTATATTAAAAATGAGATATGTGTAAGTGGAAAAAATGATCATGTAAATTAATGGCATGTCTACAGGATGTAACTAAAAATTGCCATGGAAGGTCTTGATTTGTCTTCACTGATTTTATTTCCTTTGGAAGGTGGCCTTCAGTAAATACTGCAACTCAAGAGATATTATGGACCTCTTCTGCATTGCAACTGGTTTACCAAGGTAAATACATTTTCTGATGCAACTCTGTTCCTTAAATGGGCTAAAAACACTATTTTGAAAAGGTTTAGTTTCTCTTTTTCATGATTACAAATAGAAATATCATGAAGAACTATGGAAAAGAATTACATTTTCTTCCTTTCCTTTTGTTTTAAATAAAATAAACATTGTACCCATGTTTTTGATCTCAATAATAGGAACCACAAAGTAGCTAAGTAACCACAAACAATAAAATAATATGAAACTTAATTCAACAAAGCAGCAATGTTTGCTTTGAAATAACAATACTGTTATTTCATCAATGATAGCTAAACCCAAACCCCAGCCAGGAATTTCAGACAGTGCTGTGTGTGCACTAACTAGCTGTGATCCTTACAACAGCCTTGAAAGGTTCATCAGTATTTTTCCCCCATTTTGCAGATGGGAAGGCTGAGGTTGAGAAAGAGAGTGACTTGCCTGAGATTGCCTAGAGGCTGCATGGAAGATGCAAAATCAAACTTGGGAGCTGCTGCTCCATAGCTCAGTCTTTTAATCTTTATACTCCTTCAGCTGCAACTTAGAGGGCCCTCTGAAGATCTCGGGGTACAAGCACATTAATATAGAAGCACGTGGTTTTTCATTTCTGATGGACGCAAGCTGTTTGGAGTTTAAAATGTCATGACCAGCATTAGAATACATACTTAGAGGTTTAGAACAGGTCTGTTGTACAACATCACGATCACGATGCATGACTTTTGATAATAAGACTGCTGTGCCATCCTCTGGAATGAGAACTGAGGAGGGGCTGGGGCCCGTTTGCCCCAGAATGGCTGCTAGAAATGCAGCAAGTAAGGGCAAGCCAGCTTCACAGATGTCTTTTCTGTTGGCTTTCAGACGTCTCTGAATCGATGTGTGCGGAAATGGAATGTAGGGATGCAATCCATCTCAACTCACATCAGTGGCAGTCTGATTTGAAAGACAACACTCGGTACCCCTGCACTGAAAGTTCACGGAAAAGCGAAGAGGCCTGTGAAAGAGTTTTGCTATTTTTTGGACAGTTCTATTGACTGCACAGTTTGAAAACCCTTAATGCTCAAGTGGCAGAAGCCATGATTACTTCAATAGTGTCATTTTAGCTTAAAGATTAATAATCATTAATAACTGATGTACAGTTTCAGAAATGACTCATAATATTGTGATAGAGTATGTTAACCAAATTGCAGTGGTACGGTTGCTCTTATGTTCTTACAGTACTCTTAGAATATGTGCTATTTGTGTTTGCACCATGCTATTATCTCATATCAACCCTTTTAAAATTGCGCTTGTATCAAAAAGCGTAGCCCGTAAAGCTCTGCAAGCCTGAAAGATGGGTGAATCAATGCACTTGGCTGTTGATGCTGTATGAGCCAATGTAGGTCAGCCAGCGTCACCAGCCTGTGCTATTGAACCTTCTCTTTCCCCCTAGAAGTTCTGTTTAACAATCTGAGCCATTCACAAAATGCTGAAAGAAATCTGCATTTTTCACAAAGGTCCAACACAAATTCAATCTGTTATTGCTTAATGTGTTAAATCTGGGGTTCCAGGCTTAACTTGCCTGACAACTCTGAGTATTGATCCAGCAACAGTTTTTCCTGTACTAGATGTGTGTGCACTGATTGTAGCAAGAGAAAGAAACTCAGTATATATTCAAAGATACTCCAGGGATCCTGCAGCTGCCAAAGGAAATTAATCATAATGCCATCAGTCTCCAAAGCCTGTTCTATTGTTCCAGATTTTATGCTGATTTTTCTGGTTATTGTGTGTCATGTCAGAATACAATCATGTCTTTTCTGCAATTTACTGCACATACCTTTGGCATTTTGTAAGTAAATGGGTGAAGCATTCTGGAATGTTCTGGAAAAGATACCGGAAACTTTCTCAGTAGATTCTGATACAAATGTATTAATGGCTGCTCTCTTTGAGCCTTGCTGTTTAAAACTTTTTTCTTAGATGGATGAACTTTACCTCCAGAAACAGGCATAGACATGAACAGGAGTTACAGAGGCAGTGGGGAAAGCACAAGAACTGCTTGCCCTGACCAACAGCCAAATATACAGGAGAAAGCATCTAAGGGGACAATCTCGGGCAAGTTAGACACACACACACACACAAAAGAAAAATCCCATGACTCCCATCATGGCTGGGACAGGCTGAGAGCTGTACTTTTTCTCCTGTCTAAACATGCTTAGGATTGCGCCTTAAATTTCTTAAGTGAAAGACCCACTGCTTGAGGTGAGCCCTGGACCAGACAGACCCCTAGGATTGCTAATTGTCTATCCCTAATACATGCATTCTTTTTCATTAGCTTTGAAAGGGGTTTCATGGGGCTGTTTTGTGAATTTCCTCTCCTGGCTGCCTTTAACGGGGAATTAGACAAATTCGGGGAGGATAAGAGTATCAATGCCTGCCAGTGATAATACTTCTCTTCAGGATCTGAGGCAGTGTGCCAGTGCATGTCAAATACTGGGGAACACAGCCAGGAGGATGCTGTGGCACTCGTGTCCTAGTTGTGGCTTTCCCACAAGTAGTGGGTAGACCCCTGTAAGAAAAATAATGTTCGAGAGAGACCCTCGCTCTGATCCAGCACTGCTCTGCTTATTTGTTACACTAAAGGAAGCAATGCAAGATTTAGATCAAACTCCCCCCTTGGTATATTAAAACTAACTGTGGAAGAACGAACTGTGAGTCGGCTTCATTCCCTCTTTCACCACTTTCTGTACCACAGAGACAAAAAGTTTGAGAGAAGGAACCACCATTTTTCATAATATTCAAGGCACTTACCTGTCTCCGAATTTTATAGCCAGAATGCTACATGTAATGGAGCATTTCACTAATTTTACATGCAGGTAGGGGTTGAATGTATGATCCCACAATAAATACTGGATATTACCCTATTGTGTTGGTGCTCTTGTGGGATCCACCTCTTGCCCTGTGGGACTTTCGCCAGTCAGGTCAGCAAAGCTCACAAAAGGGACCTCTGTTGACTTGTCCTCATCTGGAAAGAAGTGTTTCTGGGGTTATTTTTAGAAATGTGAAAGCCATCGTGTGGAAGCAGTGGGTCTCATGAGCACAATAGAACCAGCAGCTTGCATTGTAGAATGCCCACAGATTCAAAATTCTCATTTTCATCCTGATCAATAGGCATGCTTAAATAGCTTCCCTGTGAGAGGCAGTAGAAGAAGCATATCCCGGGGCCATGTCTTCTGCTCCTTCTCCATGTGGTGGCACCCATTCATTGGATGGAGCTGTGAAAGGGATCCTGTGCAGAGATGCTTGTGGACAGGCCTCTTCCACACACAAAAGAACCTGGTTTGGCCAATAGATTTGGTCCATTTGTGCAGGAGACACCTGCACATATACACCAGGATTTCATAGGCCACCTAGTGAATGTGCAGCTGCTGGAGACTGTGGCCATTGGCTGCATCTGCAGCAGGTCAGTGACTTGAAATCATGCTCCCATTTCTCCCCACAACTCATGAAGGCATTTCTGTGAATAACTCTGTGTTACTCTTTTTAATGGCACACCTCGTCAGTCATTCAGAATGACACTTCTTCAGTCCTTTGCTGCTTGAAATGATTTAATAGTATTCAGTGGTATTCATTTATGCACTATCAATCTATCTATTGCACATGTAGCCTGCCTTTTCTCAAAAAGAGCACTCAAAGCAGCTAACAGTACAATCTTCTGATCTTCTTTTAAATAATTGCAGCCATTTCCCAGCTTTCTGCTCCAGGTTACGCCCTTTTATTTGATGTGTCAAACAAACATAGTGACTTGCCATCTACAAGGTGCCACAAGATATTGGGGCCATAGCCTGATCTGGTTAAATAAACATAGCTTTGAACTTTGTTTTCCAGGAATACAACCATTTCACTTTTCACGGCAGATGACTGCATGGTATCCATTGATCCTACCATGCCAGAAAACTCAGAAAGGCAGGTATATGTTCTGGTTACCAAAGCCAACTCAGAGGAATGGTGGTGTGGTGTTTAAACTACTGGTTGTATTTTATGCATGCCTAGTATAAGAGAAAATTCAGTGGGATACAGCAAAAAATACTCATTTACAGCTTTGAAGATCCCTTCAGATGCAATCCTATGTGTGCTTAGACAGGAAAAAGTCCTACAATTCCTAGTATTCCCCAGTCATCACAGCTGGCTAGAAAATGCTGGGAGTTGGAAGACTTTTTCTGCCTGAACATGCAAAGGATTGTGCATTTCATTTCTTTATTATTGTTATCATTCAGAAAGCATATAAAATACTGGCAGGAGTAGTTCATGTGAAAAAACCTCTTTTCCCATCAATTCAGATTCCTCTGGGGCTTACACTTCCTTATGTTCACAGTTTTCTTTAGTTCTTTACTAGAAGAAGCAAACGGAAACAGCTTTTGCCTGCAGACTTGTTTGGAGATGTGTTCATATTCATGCACCACCTAAGGCTTCTCTCCCCCACCCGCCCCACAAAGTTGCTCTTAATTTTCCCAGGTCTCTTAGGGTTCCCTTTGGCACTGTTATTTTCCCCCACCATAATTCTTTATGCTGAAAGCCATATTTTTCCCACCACTTTTTCCTAGTCTAATCCTTGGGGTCTCAAACAGAGAAAATGCCACTGCTTTCACTTAAAGTCTGCAGAACTTGTGTGCTTTGTCCGTACCGTTTGAATACAGCCGAGCCGCGTTGTGTGTTAATAGGGTGGGGTGGTGTATTCACAGAACATGCATGTTCTTTTCCTTGGCTCCACTAAGCACAGAAGGCTCTGCAGGCAGCGCTTCTCATCTTGGATGAGGCTTGACAAGCTCATTGTCTTTTGTCTCTTGCAGGACTCCCTACAAAGTAATACCTGTAGCCACTGGACAACAAACAGGTAAATATTGTTTTAGCCAGAATTTAGGTTTAGTATGTTGCTCAACTTTGTAAATCTAAATGTTGATGGGTATCGGAATCATATTTCACCTAATAAGGCTTTAAATACTGTGTAAGTTAGGTGCCTTTAAATCAATAGAAGTGAAGACAGTATTGTAGATTTTAGTCTCACTGACATGACTGAGACTGATCTTCCCTTTGTGCCATGGGAGCCTTTTCGTCAGGCCATTCCACAAAACTGCCAGGAGTCTTTCTTGCGATGCCCCCACGGAAAGCAGTCAATGGGGCTTTCCCATGCACCATACCTATAAAACTCACCTCTCACAGAAATTCAGCTGATCCCCATGCCATTATCAATAAAGACCTATTATTTGTGCAAGCTTTGGGGATATAGGTAAGTGTCTATTGATTGATTGTGTTGAATACTTTATTGTCTTTTATTACATATGCATGATTTTAGAAGCACAACATTGACGTTGTTTATGTGGCTGCTGTGTTTTATATGGGCTGTTGGCTGCCCTGGGCTCTTTGGCAGGAGCAGCAGGATATAAATCAAATAAATAAATGATAATGTTTAAAGCCTTCCAATGAATGATGAGTAAGTCCTGGAGAATGAGTCCCACTCACACTTGTTTGCCAGTGTTAAATTGTGGTAGCAGTAAAGCAACTCCTGCAGCACAGATGCAATTTAGAGATACTTCATAATTTCCCTAAACCAAATGAAAACAGTTTGTACTGAAATCTAATAGAATTTCATGTTGGCGACTAGGAGATGTCAATGAAAATCAATCATAGGTAGCTCTCTCTAGGTCGGGGCCTTTATGAGTTGCCCTCCCATGAGAAGAACAGTATCAGGGAGCAGTGGCATTGCAGCTGCCCTGGCCCATCCTTTTCAAGGTCTCTTCCAGGAGGAAGAGCACCCAGAAAAGATAGGTGGGGTGCAGGGGAGAAGAAGGAGGGGGAAATCTCATTGTACAAGCAGAGTTCCCTTCATATAACATTGGATGAGCACTATGTCAGAGATGTTACATTGGAGTAGCCTTATATTTTAATCTCAGATATAAAAATTCTCATCTTTAATTGGCAAAATACATCTACAGTAGCACCAATTATCATTAGCAGCTTCATATATAAATCTCTCAGTTTTCCATGCAATAAGAACAAAAGAATGGTCCAGTCTCTTCCCCACCATCAGACTTCTGTTTATTGCATCTAACCCTAGCCATTTAAATACTTCAGTGTCACACATAATCCACAATACCACGCACAGTGGAATGATTGGGGGGGGGGGGGTCCTTAACCATTTTTAAGCATGAATACCGGCTGTAGATGTAAACATGTAAAGTGTGAATCATCTCTTAGGCACTCCTAACAGACATGTTAAAAAAGGACAACAACCTGAAGAAGAAAAAAGAAACATTTCCACTGAGTGAAGGGGGAAGAGGAACATATTCAGGAAAGCACAGGGCTTAACGACTCAAAAAGTTTTGGAATGGCATCTGAAAATCATGAAATGAAGCTCTATCATTTTAGCAGGAAGGTTTTGGCAGGGTTGGAATTGGAGAAGGACCAAAAGGGGAACTACTTTAGCAGGGAAAGACCTAATGATGGGGAAACACTGCAAATACGGTATTTTCAGTATTTCCATGGAATGTAATGGGGAAACAGAATATAGAAGGCAGGATGGAGTGGAATATCTTGGAAAAGGGCATGTCTGGCTTGGAAAAGCACCTGCTGAGAACCCTGAGCCCGAGTCCTTGAATATGTGCCATTTTGTTGTAGGTTCCACTTGTTTTCAACTTTTCCACTTGTTTTATGTGAGGACAGAACTTCAAGCCATTATCATGTAGGGAGCTCCTTGTGGAGATGGTCAGGCAGAGTCACACACACTCTTCCTGTGTTTTGGATGATGTGCAGTCATTTCTTGGAAGTGGCTACATTACTTGCAATTCTAGGGTACGTCTGAAAGGCCACCATTAAGAGAAGTTCAGAGCACTACAAAACCCATCCTGGTGAGGGTCTGGGCATCCACTCTTGAGAACGGTTGGCAGGTTTTGCTCTTAACTCAGTGGTGCCCGCAAATAACCACACAAAGGAATGGCAGCCTGCTAAGAGATGGTAACAAAGTGTAAATGTGAGAGGTCTAAATCTGCTTATTGCCTCAAGTGATTCCCCCCCCCCCCAAAAAAAACCCTTAGACATTGGTGGCCAGATTTAAAACTCTGTTCATATCGTCTTTTTTTGGTTTTTCTTGAGGGCCACAATAGAATATGAAGACAGGCTGAGAGAATTTACTGGACAGTGGGAAGGCAGTGTTCATGTACTGAACAGGGATGGAGTGGGGAATTTGTTCGGTTCCCTTAATGATATGACATTACCTAATCTAATTTAAACCATTCAAACCAATATGCAAACTGCAACTCAGTTATCTCCTGAAATTGGCACTTCTCTGACTTTTGTAATGGGGTTCTCCAGTCAAAACATGCAAATGAAAATGCATATATTAGGGGAAATGCTGGTCAGAAATGTACCCTAATAGGAAGCTTGGTGGCAAAAACAAATTATGCATTATGAAAAATGTGTGTATTAGGCAAAGATGAATACTAAAAAGTATGCATTCAGGAAATGTCCCTCTGAATTTCTACATCAGCTTGAAAAACAATGAATGGAAGACTGGAACAATTATTAAAGTTTAAGACAAACTGTAGTTAAGAATGGAAAAAGAATTGAGAGAAACCCAAATTGACAGGTTTGTCCATCCCTAGTTTTTAAATATGCCCTACACACACACACACACACACACACACAGACTAGCCACCTGATTGCTGATCCTTGCTATGGGACATCCATGTCCCTTGTAATACGGAACCTAAAATGGAGACCTGATGGACTATTGCACAGAGGTGCACTTTGACTGTGTGCAGTGTTGGTTCCAGGTGTGCAAGGGACCTTGGGCAGGAAGCTGTTGGTGGCTCCACCTCTGGCGGGTGTGTTTTGTCCTTGCCACTGCTGCTCATTTGCTTGCCCCCTCCCTCTGGAGCCAATCTGCACGGGGCCTGGAAAGACAGTTTGAGGCAAGTGAAACATGCTGCTCTCTCTCTTCACCAGTATTACTGTTTGCATGCTCAGAAGGTGAGGATGAATAGCAAGCAGCAATAGCAACAGGGAACTCTGGGGATTTCTAGTGAATGCCCTGCAGTTGTGTGAGTCTCAGTGGGTGCCTAAAAAAGGCAGCCTTGGTGCTGGTCCCAATTGCATGAAAGCAGCCTGAAGCATCAGACTAATAAACCTGATCTGAAAAAACAAGTCATGGAATCTTTTAAGTTCTATGATGGGAAGTTGGGTATCTCTCTCTCTCTCTCTCTCTCTCTCTCTCTGTGTGTGTGTGTGTGTGTGTGTGAGTGTGTGTGAGAGAGAGAGAGAGAGAGCATGGCTCACTGCTTTTCCGTGGAGCACTGACTTTCTGTAATGTTGCCAGTTCATTTCACAGTCCCTGCATCTTACCTAGCAACCTCAGCTATCAGTAAAGCCAGGGCCTTCCTGGATAGCAAGTATAGTTATCAGATGATTGGCAGAAGGCAACAAGGACAACAATTGATCCCTGGGGATATGACTAGGAATGCTGGATCAGGAGAGGTTTATACAGCTGTCCCTGGCTGGAGCCTTGGGTGAGGCGCTGGGAACAGAGCTCCTTACAACAAGCCAATTTACTGAGTGGATGGTAAATCATAATGCCTCAGAGGAAACCCCCCCGGAAGTTTGTGTAATAATTAAAGGTGTGCACTATCACTCTTTTTGCCAGTTTTGCAATCTGATCCCAAGACTAAAGTGCCTAATTAGGTCAAGACATGACACATTTGGATAGGCAGGCGTGCTTTACTGCCAATTTCTCTCCCCACAGAGCAGCTTTTCTTTATATCTCCCCTTTGGATTGGCCCAGAAGACTTCAGCTTCTTCACAATTTTGCCAGGAAAAATAATAATTCAGAAACACTTCCACTGGCTTCTCGCCTTATTTTTCTTTTGAGTAAGACTTTGAACGTAACCCAATTAAGTGAACCAGCCACAGGCAATAGTACAATGTGAAAAAACAGAGCATAAGGGTCGGAGATGAGTGGCATGGGATAGAACCGTATTGTGCTTTGTGCTAGTCTGAGGCATTTATTTTGCTGGACTGCTACATTTGGATGAGCACAATTCTGTGTATAGGAAAGCTTTTCTTTTTGGCGATGTCCCCAGATAAGTTTCTAATTGCCTGGTCTGAGATCTGAATCTATTCAGCTGGTAATCCTCAGCCATAGTGACCCTCATTTCCCATAGGGTGGCCATGTACTATTTGAAGGGCTGCAAGAAGATTGCCTTCTGCACATGGTGGGCATGTCGTGAGCGGAGCCGGCTGGAGCCGGGGGTCAGACTAGATGGCCCGGGAGACCCCTTCTGACTTGCTCTGTTTCTATGTTTCTATTTGGAGGCATGCCCTATTTGAAGCCAATTTCAGTGCTGTCCATCAGCAGTTAGCACTTGAACTCACAGGTCACCTGGTCAAAGTCTGCCATATTTCACTGAGATGGCCCGTATTTCTATTTAAATTATAAGTGTTATTTATAAATTTGCTTCTCTAGGTATACATTAGTACAGTCACATTTTCTTCAAAGCACTGTGGTTTTCTTTTTTGGAGGGAAACCCATTTCACCAAGAAGTTATTATTTTGTTCAAAACATAAAAGATTCAGCACCAGCCCAGACTGAACAGCCAGCCGAGTTAACCAGGATGCTTCCAGAGAGGTTGGTCCTATTCCATCAGTTCTTCCTTAGTGGATGTATTCCTGGTAGGAAAAGAAGCAGTCAAGAGGGAAAACATGGGAAGACTGGAAATAGGAGATGGCATCACTCAGACTCCCCCCCCCCCCCCCCCCCCCGAAATTGTGTTCATGAAGCAATCTGTTTTTCCAATAAAAGCCTTCCCTGATTGTTTGATAAAAGCATCCCAGGCTGCTTTGTAG